AATTGTTGTTCTAAGCATTCGTTTTGGATGTGGGTTGGTTTTTTAGCTTTTTGATTTTTTAGCTATTTTAGCCTGAGGCTAAAAAGTCTCGTTTGGGATGGGCTTTTTGGTTTTTTTTTTTTAACTTTTGTGAAAAAAAAAATGAAATGATTATAGTTTGGCTATAATATCTTGTCTTGTTGACTTTTTTGCTTATTTTGTATTTTTGTGGCGATTCTATAAAATTTTATTACAAATTCATGAAAAAATTATAACTATAATTATAAATATTTATAAATTTTATCACTTATTTGTAATTATTTTTCAAAATCCCACTTGAACTATAATTTTCCTTAAATTTTGATGTTACAAAAATAAATATTTTAACCCACTATTGATTGTTGGAAAATTTACTGGTAAATTCCATTTGGATGAATTGTGATGCATTCAGTCTTATGATATTTCTTATTATCCTATTAGTCCCATCCATTTTGGTAAGGTGAATTTCATATATTGTATGGGGTGTGTTTTTATGTTGATAACCTTGGCCCATGTTGATTTCATTTCGGGTTTCCTGTTGAGAAAGGAAATTTGGGAACAAAAAGGAAGATTTCGTGGAATTTTAGTGGAAGAATCATAGATTTGATTGATGTGGGATCTCTATCTTCTGGTAAACGATTAGTAAGATGGGTTGAAAACCTATACCCCCAACATTATTATCCAGAACAACATCAAAGAAAATTACACACAAAACCACATTAATATTGGGTGTCAAAACCACATTAATATTGGGTGTCAAAACCACATCAATACGACATGCCCAGAATGCTACTATATATGTGTGAAGTGTTACATTTGAGAAAAATATATTAAGAAATTTTTTTGTATTATATTAATTGAAGTGTTACGTTTAAAAAAGTACATTAAATTTTTTTTTTGTATGTTATACTAATTGGATTGTTACGTTTGGGAAAAAAAATACACTAAAGAATGATTTTTTTTGTGTGTTAAATTAGAATGTTACATTTAAAAAATGTACACTAAGGCTCTGTTTGGAAGAGCTTTGAAATTGTGATTCTAACTCTTAGTTTGCACATAGTGTTTGATTGTGGCTTTCAAAAATTAATTCCACACTCACTTTTGAAAAATCGATCTAAGACGAGAATATTTGGGCTAGCCGGTCGTCCGGCCGGTTGACCGGAACAGTGCATAATTTTTATTTTTATTATTTTTTGCAATTGACACATGTTAATTTTTATATATTCAACAAAAAATATTTTCCTAATTTTTTTATGAGTTTTGAATAAAATTTTGAGTTGTGCTTTTGGTTATGAGTTGTAAGTTTTTATATCAAATATCATATGTCACATCAAAAATTTCACACTCAATTCAAAACTCTTTTCAAAACAAATTCACCAAACAAATATTCATACTCAAATCATAAAACTCACAAACTCAAAATACAACTCTATTCTCAAATCATATTTAGAAAACTCTACTAAACGCAACCTAATTTTTTTTTAATGTGTTAAATTGGAATGTTACAGTGAAGTGTTATGTTCTTGTTTGTAACTTGAGATTTGTTCCATAATGAGGGAAAACCTAAAACCTTTATAGTGCGTATTGTCAAAATATGAAATTTTATATTTAGATAAATTCACTTTTATCTCTCAAAAATTTAACCCAAACATGTAAGTAATTACTCTTTTGTATAATTTTCACTTTAATGTGACTTTTGGGTTCATAAGAAAAAAAATGATGACTAAACAATTCATAAGATTACATTTTGAAATTTATTAGTACTTCACCCTTGATTGTTTTTATTTTTACTTTTTATAATCGGATATTCGAACTAACTTGCGTGCAATTTGACTAATTTTAAATCCTAAAATTAACAATCAATTAAACTTTTAATAATTTTTTAAAATAAAGCAAATTCAAAACTTTAGATCTTATTCGCAGGTTGTACCATTCAGCCAACGGCTTACATTCCACTAGTTATTGCTATGGTTGTCATCAACACTTGCAACACCCAACATGCAGTTGGCACAAAAAAGGATGAGAGAGAAAACAGAGACAGCTTTAAAAATAAGATCATTTCAAATTTTCCAGTGAGATTTATTGGGGGATTGGCTCATTTCCAAGTCCACATGGTCTGTTTTACTTCCATAGCTATCAAAATTGTACCAAATTCTGTCTTACTTTTCATTTAATTAACATAAGCTACGGTTTGCTTTTCTTTTTTGATCTTAAAAAAATAAAAAATAAATAAAAAAACAGCTTCACTTGATGAACTTTGCTATGTTATTATATATTCAAAATTTTAATCCCAAATTTTATAAAGAAATATCAATGTACAATCTAAATTCATTTTATGCATGAATTTCAGAATATATCGATTGAATCTCAATCACACTTTTCTATTCTGGGTAATATTCCTATCAAAAATTTTAGATAAGTAGATTTAATGAAGATAGAGAATCAATCATCAACAATAAAAAAGGAAGAAAGAAGGGGACAACCACACCCTCCAAAAGTATGATGTGGTTGTAATGCGATATATTTTGGAATATAATCCAAACATATCGGATAATACACCACATCGTATCATTCGAGTTACAATATATTTTAGATTCATTGTAATTGTCGTAAGGTCACATCTAAAATAAATTTTAACTACTTAATACACTCTAAATGTTTTAATTTGTATTTTTTGGTTTTCTAACTTTTTACACTACATTCTTAAAAATCAAAATGGTCCTCGAACAGTCAGTCATGATGCATAGATGGATCTATATAGCTCTAGACAAGGCAACCATTTTTCTTTTTTTGTCCATGGGAATGGGGGCAAATCCAAGATTTTAACGTACGAGGTTAACTTATATACTAATAAAAAAATTAAAATATGGGGTACAGTATTAATTTCAGTTGACATAAAAAATAAAAAATAAAAATAACATGAAAACATAAATAAGTATTTTTTTAGATATTCTATCTACTAAAGTAAAGTATCTTAAATTGTACTTGACGATCTTTCATATTATTAAAGAATACAATAAAATTGACATTAAAATCTTAAATAATGTATTTTTCAATAAATTTGATCAAATACCTTCCAAAATTTTTAGTTTCATACTTTGACACACATGTTTCACTTAATTTTTTCAAAAACTTCGAGGGGTATTCAAAAGTATTAAAAAAATATCGAGTCAACGTAATTTTGAGATAGTTACTAACAAATATTAATATCATAACAGTTTTTCTTAATAAACTATTTTTTTAAACATTAAATAGTAGAGTAAAGGATCACCCCTCTTGCCCCTTTTAAATCCATCCTTGATGGGAATTACAATTCACTTCTCCGGGGGTTCATTGCTGCATCACCCAAATGTTGAAAATTTTGTTAAATCCCCACAAATGACATGTGCCATGCCATGGCACACATATATAGACCATCTTACCACCTATTAGAATTATAATTTAGTTATAATTTTTGCACATTTTATTGACACGTGTCAGTCATTCGTTCCAAGTTGCATAATGTCTTCTTGGATCACTGAAAAAGCAATGGCTTTGGTAGTCAATGGCTTTATATTCAAGTGTGGTGAGAAATGAGTAACTTAAAAGCCTCCCATGTTCATGCAAAAATACCTAATTTGCAAAAAGTTGACCCATTTATAACTTCGATTGAACTGAACCTAAAAACGTAGATTAGGCTCAATTCCACCACCTTTTTTCTACGCCCTCTGTTCATGACTTCAAAAGGGCATATTGAAATTACCAAAAACTCCTCAATCACAAATTGACCCATTTTGTTGAACAATATTAAAATTGCCCATGTTTTGTTATACAATTGATTATTTTAACTCTCAAAGTGTAAAAATCCTAATAAATATATAGGGAATAAGACTCAAACATAAATGGAGAGATTTAAACTATTTACATTTTAGTGAGGTATAAATTTTGGCCAATTAAACTGATCCTGCTAATTCAATAGATTAGTTTATTTCAACAAACTCAACACACCATTGACTAGAACAGTAATATAGAGTTACTTCTCATTTTCTTTACAAATAAATCTAAAAAAGCAATTCCTTTTATTATGTGTATTGTCATTTTAATATTATTTGAGAGTTCTCTAGCCTTCCATGTTATGATAGTATATACGTAGGATAGAGGAATAATTTTGAAATATTAATAATTAAATTTGTTTTTTAACCAAACTAAACATTATATCCCAAACTGATCTGACTTAATAATTAGGATAAACTATCAATAAGTCATAATAATTAGACTTAATTTCTATCAAGTCCTATTGAAAATAAATCATAATAAAATCGTGGTTAAAAATAATTTTTTATGACGATTTTATATATATATTGTTAAAAATTGACAATTAATAACTTTTTTGACATGATTTTTATAAATTATTGCTAAAACTTACAATTAGTGATATTTTTCTGTGATAAATTTTTAAACTGTCACTGAAAATTAAAAATTAGTAACTTTTTGTGATAATTTTTTAAACCGTCGTTAAAACTTATAATTAGTAACATTTTGTGTCAATTTTCGAATTGTCATTGAAAATTAACAATTAATGACGTTTTTTAATAGTGTTTAATAAAAAAAATTATTAATTATCATAAGATCTATTAGATAATAAATTTACTTATTAGGATTTACACGTAAATTCTCCTAATAATTTATCTTAGGATGTTCACTCTCAATCAAATTTCTCATTCAGTCACTGAGTGACATAATATAAGGCTCACTAAATTACCTATATTCTATATGTGTATATATATTTTGAGAGAGAGATTAAAGACATATTCTACATATATTATTAGCAATATTCTATTTAATTATATAAATCTAACTTTACCAGTTGACTTAGAAGTCTTGAGGCTATATTGGTCAATTTACTAGTTTTGTGCTCTTTCCACGATCACCTCTCTTCAAGGATGAAAAGTCCAAATGGTAGACTCAATAGCACGAAATCGCCAACATAATGCTTTCCATGTAAGAAAGACTAGAATTTATTAGAATCACCAACTCATTCATTCAAATGACATTCTCACTACTCTCTTCTCTTTGAACCAAAACCTCTCTCATTTTTTCTCTGTTTTTCACAGCTTTTAATTTTAATTTCATATATGATTATGAAGCCCACAAAGTCCGATGGCCGGCGATTCATCATAACATCTTTCTTCTTCATTCTCTTTCTCTGTACCTTAGCTTCAATCAACGAGGTTCGATTTGATACTCTGTTAAGGTTTGGTAGATGTGCTCTATCGAAAATCCCATCCCAAACAGAGAAATTTCTCACTCCAAATGATTCATCATCTGACGATATCCGAATACTTCTTGGGATTCTAACACTTCCCGACCAATACCATCGCCGCCACTTCCTTCGTATGATCTACGGTACACAATCTCCGGTAGGTGCAAAAATCGACGTGAAGTTCGTGTTTTGCAACTTAACAAAGGAAGATCAAAAAGTGTTAGTTGCGCTAGAGATAATGAGATACGATGATATTATCATACTCGATTGCAAAGAGAACATGAACAAAGGTAAGACTTATACTTACTTTTCAAGCTTGCCGGAGATGTTTAATGGCACGGAAAATTCAACCACGCCATACCCGCCTTACCATTATGTGTTGAAAGCAGACGATGACACGTATTTCAGGTTAGAAAACCTAGTGGAGTCATTGAGGCCATTGCCTAGAGAAGACTTGTACTATGGTTATGTTATTCCATGCCCTAGCATGGACCCTTTTGTTCATTACATGTCTGGAATGGGTTTTTTGATTTCTTGGGATATAGTTGAGTGGATTAGGGTTTCAGATATTCCTAAAAAGCATTTGGAAGGGCCTGAAGACCGGGTTTTTGGCGAGTGGCTTCGTGATGGTCATCGAGCCAAGAACCGGTTTAATGCTAAGTGGTCGATGTACAACTATCCAGAGCCGCCCACGAGGTGTACACACGAACTTTGGCCGGAGACAATTGCAGTACACCTTTTGAAGAATCAAGTAAAGTGGATTCATACATTGCAGTATTTTAATGTCACTCAGAATTTGAAACCATCTAAGCTGTATCATATAACTTAATTAGGTGCTGCCACATTAACATGTTCATTCTTTTTTTTTTTTCCCCCTCAATGGAGTATTCAAATCATACAAGCTTATTTTGGCGATTATTCATAATTCTCTGTTCATTTTTATTTTTTTAGTATGTGATTTTGACTTGCAAAAGTGCAAATATTAGAGCAGCTTCTGGCCTTCCACAGAAATGAAATAATTTATATTGCATTTGAAAATAGAATTCAATTAGTTTATTTTAAATGGCGATTGTGATTTTGATATGTAAAACTGAAAATATTAGGGCAGCCTTGTGAGTTTCTAAGAAAATGAAATAATTTCATTGGATTTGTAATTTGACATATGTGGTTTTTTAATTGTGACTTTTTAATTTGATGAGCTGATAATCAAATCGTTCATTTTGTATAACCTTTATTTATATTATTCACACAAAAAATTAAGATAATCGGGTAATTGCAGCCTTTTTAATGTATTGCATTTGTCTAAAAAAATAGACAGCAAGCGTATTTTTGAAAATAGACCGTCCATTTTTATTTTTATTTTTTGTGACAAACATGATTAATTGAGTAGGTTACAATTATCGAATTAATTTAATTTTTTAAATCTAATGATATACATAAAAAGTCTTACAAAATTAACAATTCGAATTATCTATGTACCGGTACATAGATAGTACCTTGCAGTCCAATGAGACAATCCAAACCCTTTTTTTAATCTACTTCAAACAAATAAAAAATGCATTTTCTAGCCATCTTTGTTTGATTAAAATGTTTGTTTAAAACATCTTCCCTTTCTCTAACTCGCCCAAGTCCCAATTTCTCCAAGAATTCAGATCATATATGTTTAAATTATGAAGTTATTTCTAAAGTGAAATATCTATATTTGTTCACATGCCATACTTATATTTAATAGTTTTAAAATCGCAAATACAATATAAATTTTTCCTATGATGATATTGACTAAAAAAAATTTCTTGCTCAGAGGCCCGCGAAACTACAAAAGAAAACCTCCTTACTCGTTATTGGAAGACTCAAAAAAAAAAACAATAATAGAAAAAGAAAAACATTATTCAAAAGCCTATAAAATAGCTTTGTAAAGTAGTCAAGCCACATAAGAACCCTCAAAGACTCAATAATAATAATATCCATATCCAAAAATAAATAACTATTTGGTTCAGTTTTTGAATTTTTATTTTTTAGTATTTTTTTTTCATATTTTAGTTTTCAAAAAACTATTTTGTTGCAAAAAACATTACCGTTGTGTTTGAAGCATGAATTTTGATAAGAATTTGAAAATAGAAAAAAAAAAACAAGAAAAAAATTAACTTATATTTCATTTACATTATCTTTACATTTTCTTTTTTTTTTTAAATTCTTATTCAAATCTATAATCTAAACATAGCTTAAGAAACCAATTTCAGTCATTGGGTGAGTCGTGACAGAAAGAGCACTCCATCAAAAAAAATAATGTTTAGCGACAAAATTTTGTAAATGTCACTAATAAATGTGATTTTAAGAATTAAACATTTTTGTGGCAAGATGTTTTCTTTTTAAGATGAAATTTTTTATACAAAAGGATGTTAATTTATTATTAAATTTTTAATTTAGTCACTAAAAATATAACAATAATATTTTTGACAACTAAAATATTTCATTCCCAAACAATGATTTTGTTTCTAAATTTCTGGGCTTTGAAATCTAAATTTGTTATAGTTGTATATTGTAACAATCTTACCCCATGATTAACGTTAATCCATGATTTAATATGCCTAACAAGTTATTAAGATCAGATTTTGAATCAATTGTATATGTGTAGCATTATTTGTGATTATATCTGTTCATCATAGACATATCTGTTTAAATTTTTGTTCCGTTCTGTAAATCGAAAGCCTTATTGGCATCCGATCGCAAAATCGACTTGAATTATGTATTAACTAGAATTTTTAAAATTTTAAGGTAAATTTAATTGAAATTCGACTCGGAATCAAATAATAGAATTAATTAATTAAAACTAACTAAGGTTAATTAAGCTTAATTAAGCCAAGCCTATATAAGGCTTATATGACTCAAGAATCTTCTATTAAACCCACACTTATCTTCCTTAAGCATATACACGTAGAGAGAGAAAGAGAGGAAGAAACTTGAATCAACTAGAAGAGGAAAGCAAGAGGAATTGGTGGGATTTGAAAATAATTTAGAAGATTGAGTTAGAATTACACTACATTCAAGCCTTAGGTAAGATTACTATCCATAACTCTTACAATTACTCCATGTAGGGGAAGACTATGTGCATTATGTGAGATCATTTGCATGGGTTTGTGGGGAAACACATGAATTAGTAAAGAATATAATGGAATGGATGCGCATGCATGCACAATTCATGAAATTTTGAAGATGTTTACAAAGAATTCTCACATGCATGCATTGATCATAGCTTTGTTTGAGATTTCATTACATTTCATACATTTTTATCTCAATTGATCATGTTTTGGAAGAATAGAAAGCACATCAATTCATGCATGATTTATATATTGAATTTCAAGCTTGATTTTGGATAATTGTCAAAGCTTTTGGGCTTGATTTTGCGAAATGATTTCAATTCATGATATATTATAAGTTTATACATATTTTCTCAAGTTTTGAACCCAATAGAATGTGTTTTGATGCTTTGAAATTGAGATTGGAAGCTTGAAGGCGAATCTGGAAAACCCAAAATTCGTACCTTCCGCTCGAGCGAAGGGATCCACGCTCGAGCAACCACTCTGAGTCCGTGCACTTCCGCTCGAGCGACCTTAAGTCCGCTCGAGCGTGAAATGCAAGCTCCCAGAAGTTCTTATGTTTTGCAGCACGCTCGAACGACAAAAGTTGCGCTCGAGCGAGGGCATGTCTCTCACGCTCGAGCGAGAGTCGAGCTAGTATTGAGTGAAAAAATCAAGTAACCAGTACTTTTGAAAAATTTTACAGACCACTCGAGCGACAGATCTTACGCTCGAGCAACAACTCACATTTTACATGTCCGCTCGAGCGTAGGAAGTTAAGCTCGAGCGGGGACCCTGTTTTCAGCAATTTTTGAAGATTAAGACACCTTAATGAGGATAAAGAAGTAGAAACACACCGAAACAAGAAAGAACCAAGTTAATGATTCCGGGTGTATAATTCAGTACGTAATCGTTCTGTATTTGTGTAGGTCACGTGCCACAAGATATTTGACTTGCCTACTCTGTCCGTTTACTTGGAGCTATCTGTTATCTGTGAGTAAAAACTTTGTAAAGCTACATTCAACTATAAGTATTTTCTGAATGATATAAGATGAACTGTTTTTTGAAATATTATTTTCTGTATAAATAAATAGTTGTCCAATATTTCTGAAAAGTATCCGTGGCATCATTAGCTCCAGATGACATCTGTTTTCTGTTCTGTTACATTCCAACTATGGGCCAACTGTACGTCTCATGAGGCAACTGTTATGGATCCTTATGTATATGTCCTATTTATAGGCCAACTGTATGTTTCATGAGTTAACTGTACCGTCTCCGTGCACGTGAGTCAACTGTATACTTTTATGGTCGTCCCTTTATGGATCAACTGTTTCTACTAGTGCTAATGAATGTACCACATATAAATAACTACAAATTCTGATTATGAATGTGATTTTGAATTTGTATCTGTTATGAAGTATGATTTCTCAAAATAATTATGAATTCATTTCTGATAGCTTTTGAATTCTGTTTTCTGTAACCATTATGGACAACATTCATTTAACCCTTTATTCTATTATTATTCACTGGGCTCCCGCTCACTATTTATATCATGTATGTAGGTGACCAAACACGTGACTAGGCTCAGAGCTGAGGACATGGCGTTTCAGTTCTTTTTGTCAGCCAGCCTTTGTGCCTCCCAAGGAGGTTCCCTATGGTCATATTTGTGAATGTAAAAGCTTGGTTTTCTTTTGGGTTATGAACAAATTCTAAGTCCCTTTTTGGTTCTATCTGTAATGAATGTAACAATATAACGTTAGGCATCTATGTATAAAAGTTTTTTTAAAAAAAAGAAATTTTTGTCCCATATATGTCCCAACAGCTCAATAAACTATGTATGTTTCTATATTTGCTTTTGCAGCCCCTAATTATATGATATTCTGTTCAGAGGCCTTTGGTAATCTAAGGATTACTGGCCGGTTACAACGCTAAATCCATATGGACGGGTTTGGGTCATGACATATATGCACCTAGAATCTAATTTTCTTTTATCCAATGTATTTGGACTTGGCGTAATACATTTCACTTGCATGCCCTTACCGAAATTAGCTAAATCCCCTCTTTATCTCATCTTTCTATATTTATTCATACTCTTTTTGTGAATTCTAATTCAAACACACAACGATTATCCAAAATGTCTACCTTATAGGTTTCACAATAAATGTCATTCATATAAAAAATTAATTTCATCGGACATCTATAAATAAGAATAAATTATATTTTATTTTATAAAATAAATGGTAAATATGATTATAGACTTAAAATATCTATTTTATAAAATAAAATATGATTTATTTTTGTATTTATAATTGTCCGATGAAACTAGTTTTCTACATGAATAACCTTTAGTGTGAGAACTGTAAAATAGATGATTCGGATCATCTATGTGTGTCCAAGTTGGGGCCACTAGAGAGATATAAAGGAGTATAAAGAGATAAGATATAGATGTGAGCTCATCCTATCCTGATCAGCCAAAATTTTTAAGGATGAATCATTCACGTAATAAAATCTCTTGAGAAATTTATTTGCGTATAACATTATTCTCACTAAATTGATGTAACCTGTTAATGTGGCCCGTAACAAGCTTTACAAACATTTGTGCATATGGTTTTTATTTTGAAATAATTGCCAGCGGATCCTATGAATTAAAATTATTTACTCATAAATTTTGAATGTAATTTTTTACATATTTATCTCTCATTCTGATAATCAATTTTTTTTGAGACTTTTTGACATATATGCTTTGTATGTGTGGAATGATCATTTGGTACCAAAGTGATAAAAAAAAATACATAAAACATGTCTTGAAAATATATAAAAATATTTTTAAAATGTATTTATTTCAAAAAAAGTATATTAAATTTAGTAAAAAGTTTTTATGTTCTTCAATTTTTTTATATAAATAAGTCTGATTCATATAACCAACCCACAACGGTTCCTTTTATTTCTTTTTGTTGGTCCAAGAATTTTGTTGATTATCATTACTTTTGTAGTGCTAGGCTTACCACATAACCGGGCTTAAACCCAAAGTTGCAGGCCAAATATCTAGGGATTTTTTTTGTATTATTTTCAATTATTTTGTAAAAAAATCTTTTTTTTCAGCGACAAATTCGTAGACGCTCAGGCCTCCTTTGTTTTTGAGTTATAAGGGA